ACTGACTTTCACGAGCTTCGTTCATCGCAAGACAGGTTGAGTGCTCTTGTCACGCGCAGGCATTGGATTTGTAGCATTCCAAGACGGCGCTTGAACCAGGACGCCCAAAATTGCAATGGCTACGGCACGGCCGGGCCTTGCTGGCTGAAAGCAGCGCACTGGGCAAGGAACTATGCCCTCCACTCACCTCTGCAGCTACACATTGCACGTCAATTCTTTGCCACCACCTCTTGTACTGTCTAAGACTGGTGGTCAGACTATCCCGCAGCACACGGAAAGAAACATCTTGCTAAGGATGAGAAATGCTGAGAAACCTCCATGACTGACCAATGAGGACTTAAGGCTTAACTTCGCACCTACAGCCCAAAAGTTCTGCAATCTTCTGCGCCCATCGCGCCGTTGGAGCTAGGAGCGCTTGCATCAGTGCAGCCAACGTAGCTAGAAGTACCTGGAAACCACAAGAGAAGGGGAGTGGGAGGGGCTTATCGGGCTTGCATAGTACAAGGCGAAACTGTGTCAGCTTTCGAGAAGTTCCAGCCTAGTAGGTTGCTCAACCCGGACCTTGACATGCGCCATGGGCAGCTGTTGAATTCAATTTGGGATAACGCTTTGCGACAGGAGTCCTCGCAACGTGCGCTCGCAGGTCCAAATTCTTGCACATGCATAAATCCTTTGAGCAGAAGCCGCTTTTCAAAAGCACTGCGCAACGATAATCAGAGATCCAGCTCCCTTTGGCCAAGGTCAGCGGGTGGAAGCGTACCAGAGTGAAAACAGACAGTTGCAGGCCCCTTGTTTCTTGCATTTTCTTGCGACATGATGCCTTGAACACATGTTATTAAAGCTTGACTTTAGATTTGACTTGCTACAGACCTCCTCGTGATCAGACACAGGCACGAATTCCATTTGGTGCTCATTTAGATGTGTGCATTGCTTACTGGCATTACTTGTTTGCAGTCAGAGTTTTCTCGCTTCTGGACAGCTGCACATATCAGCAATGCGTGTGGTCGTGAATCTTTAACGCATGACTTTGCCAGCCAAACTCCCTAGGTCCATCACGTCATTCTGCTAGAGAGAATCACGAAAGCAAGTCCTGTGTGGACTCAGCTGGAGTTTAGGTTTACCACAGAAACTTCGGTGGATCGGGGACGTAAGCGGGCCGACGTCTGTGAAACTTCAATCTTTTCAGGTGCATCTGACAGGGCGGGGCCCCCGCCCCCCTTCAGATGGTCATTTTCCAAGAAAAAACTGTGGAGGTGCTAGCTTGAGATGCATTGGATTAAATTGAAGGCATCACATGCAATGATTTGAAGGTATATAATGCAGCGATGACCTGAGAAACATAGGCTAGCAGTGTTTGGCATCAACATTGTCTGCGGCAGTTTGCATTGGAGACGCTTCACGGTACACGGAACCAGAAATGCCCAAGTCATAAAGTATGACTATGACCATATCGAACTTCAAGGTATGAAGGGATATAAAACAGTGAGTGCCCAGTCATTTTACCTAGTTATGACCATTCCCGAATATGATGCTACAAAGATCTACAAAGAACCACCAAAGGCCAAAACGTACTTAGCTATGAATATTCCGGAATTTCAGGATACAAGGAACCAGAAGGGGCCAACTCGTAATGCTTTGCTGCTTGTATGACTATTCCGACTATTCCCAAAATTTGAGCTTACGCATGGCAAGGAAAGAGGAGAGGCCAAGAGGGTGGCAGGAGCCAGGAAGGGCCAAATGATCATACTCAACTATGACTATTCCTGAAGTTCGGGGCACAAGGAACCAGAGAAGGCCAAATCATAATACTTAGCCATGACTATGACCATTCCCAAGTTTCAGGCTACAAGGAACCAGACAAGGCCAAATCATAATACTTTTCAGCGGCCATATGGATCTGCAACTCAAGCGTCCTGCAAGAATGAAGAAGGAACTGTGAGACAAAGTAGCGTTCTGCCTGAGATACTTCCTGCACGTAGGCAGATTCTCTCAAGTTGCTGTCCCTCACTGTGAAAGAGGTGAAAAATCACAAAACTGATCCGATTGTACACTGTGTATCTGCTCCTTGGGCTCACCCGTCGCCAACAAGCCAAAATAGCTCCACGAGAAAGGTGACTGCGTGCCATGACTAGCTCTGCAGAGCCCCTCAGTGTGGCAATAGTGACTGCCAGTTCTGCAGGTGTAATATGCGGGAAGGACCAGTGTTTGAGATCTCCAACAGTTAGCCTCACCTCTCGCTGTGAGGAAATATGGGCCAGCAGTCAGAGCACCCGTAGTAAGGCAAAAAGAACCCCATCGGGGAGCCCAGACCCGATGGCAGCGGTATGTGTGGCTCGTCTCCGGTATTCGTCGCCGAAAAGCTAGTCCGCGAAAGGACTGCTCAGCGCACCCGGCTCACCACTAGGAGGTTCCTGAAATCACATACCATTGCTGTGAGGGATCGATGAACTACAAAACAGTCATCGCTCGAGCCAGAGCCTAATCATAATACTTAGCTATTATTATTATTCCGAAAATTTCAAGGTACAAAGAACCAGAAAAGACCCGGTCAGAGTAGCTAGCTGGGCCTATTTTCCCGACGATGAGGCTACAAGAATCACAAGGGGCCAAATCATTGTACTTGGCTATGACCACTACGTAATTTCAAGGTATAAGGCACCAGAAAGGACTCAGACATTTCATTGTGAGCAAGGAAACAAAGGCCTCCTATGGTACCATGACACGCTTATGCGTTAGGCTTTAGGGTACCGGTTATAACCCAATTATATGCTTGTGACCGGGAGCTTTCCAAGAGCAACTCTCCACGAGCACCAATGCCAGAGTATTCCAAGAGTCCTCCAACACCACCGTTCCAAGAGCACCATTCCAAGAGACCATACCAAGGGCCCTCGAACACGACCATTCCAAAAGCACCATTTCAAGAGACCATAGCAAGAGCCCTCCAACGCCACCCATTCAACATGTCCAGTGCTCTCCAACACCACTGCAAAGCACTCCAAGAGCAGAGCCCGCCGCAGAATTCATTTAATGGCCTGGGTTGTCACAAAAATGTTCTGCATGCTTAGTGTTTCACTTTCCAGCTTGAGCCTCGTCACGCAAGACCCCTGCTCGCAGACAACTGGCTGACCATGCGTTTAATTTAAAGCTGCTTGCAGTTGCTGCCCTGCAGTGGGGTGCGAGCTTTCGTTCAGCCCTCTCAAGTGGAAGAACGTGACGTCCACAATCAGATGTGCTGGAGGGGGCGCACAGGCATGGTGTAGGGAATCAAGCTTCGCACTAGGCTGGGTGGCATGCAGGCCACTAACTCCAGATTGCTTGAAAACAGTTGCTGGGGAAGCAGGCATCAAGGCAATACAGAAGATATCTTGTAAAGTCCAACATTCAGACTTCGTCTGCCTCATGCACTTGCGCCAACTGAGATTGAGGGGAACCGATGAAGAGCGCACAGATGTTTGGCCGCAGGGAGGTTGGGCCTCTGGCCAGGAAGAGCTCTCGCTGGTGGAAGCACGTGAGGCAGATCTGGCAGTTGAGCTATGGCAAATGCGCGGGTCCCAACTGCAAGCGCTCCAGAGTCCAGGGTTTGAATGCTTGCCTAAGGAGATGTCTAAGTGCTTCCATGCTGACTTGGTGGGACTTTGCTTCTTGTAGTTTCGCAATGGGAGTCTTTGAACATCGCACGGCATCCTCTTTGACCCCGTTCCTGAACATGTGAAGCTACAGCTACGGAGTGGCACCAGTCCACATGGCGCGGGAGTTGTAACAGTAAAGGTTGGGAGCCGGCAAGCCAAGCTAAGTTGGATGATCTTTTCTGCCATGCCACATACAATAATTAGTTGAGTTGCAGACTGAGGCGAGCAGGACTTGAAGGTCCATCGTCGCCGCCGGCGACGCTCAGGCAGATTTGCTACAGAGTTCTTAACGCGGATCCAGTCTGTTGAGGTGGCCGGAGTTGCAGAGTGTGCGAACTGTTGGATCAGGTACCAGTGATTATGCCTTGGCTTCCCCCGCCGCCCGGCCTGCAGATGGCAGCATGGGCTTCTGTAGAGGGTGAGCATTGTGCGACAATCTCTTCAAAAGTCCTCAAGTTGCCAAGCAACCATGGCACTTCATACTTACTTCTGATCTACAGATTGGCAGGCCCACATCAACATTCGCAGGAGCGAAAGCAATGCATGAATGCGCATGATAATTCTGCCAACGCGGGGAGCAAGGAGTGCTCCCAGCCAGCTTGTGCTACTATTCTATTCTGATGAGGCCGCTGCTGCAATTTGGAGGTCGAGTGAGAGGCCAACGTGCCCAATGTACAAAGAATCGGGGTCGTTCCCGTTAGGCGCGTGCTGGGAAGATTTGCATCTAGTCTAGATGCCTTAGGAACTGTGTTTCTTCCTGTCTGATGCTAAGGTCACACTATTCAAACTTCCGTCTACGCAGTTGCACTGTCACAATCTCTCGCAGACTTCTGGGCCCTGGTTGACGGGTATTTGTCTGAAACAAGCCAGTGACACAATATCTCAGCCCTTAGAGTCATGTAATGCACTGGCCATGCAAGATAAGTCTACACTCCATGCTCAAATCCATCTGGTTCCAGAGAAGCTCCAGCTCTCTCAGGCCTTGGGCCTCCTGAAGTGACACTCCATGTAACCTTTGATCAGCACTCGTCAAGCTGTTGAAGCTGAGTTTTCGGCTTTTCAGGTGCTGCATCTTCCCAAGCTCTAGCCGCAAAGTTTACCAAGTCCCCCCCATGGAGTTGCTGGCCTCATCTGTGAGGAGTGCATCCATCCAGGTGCCCGTGGCAGTGGAAAAAACTCTGAAGAACTCTAGAGACTTGCGCAGCAGTGTCCTCCATCAACAGCTGCGCGCTACTGCGGATTCCAAGAATTGCAGGTCGCACGGGCAAATGGATTTGCCAGCAAGTATTATGCTTATTCGGCTGCAAGGAAAAACAGTCGATCCAGAGACATTTCCTCAACAGTGCGGCACCCTGACTTCAAGATGCGCAGGTGATCATTTTCGATTGGGATGATACGCTCCTCTGCAGCTCAGCCATCAATGCGCAGCAATGGCGCCAAGATCAGGCGGGCTGAAGTTGGCTCAGGTTTCGTAAAGCACATAGGTCGTAAGCAGAAGATCCTGAACTTCAGGCAGCGTTCGCTTTCCGGATCTTCCTGGTCTCTTTGGAACTCGTGAGATGTTTGCAAAGCTGAGGCCTCCTTGGACCTCCGTGGGAACAGGCGCAAGCCATCCTCACACACGAAACCCTAGGCAACTAAAATAAATTCGAAACATCGCTGGCCTAGGTGCTTTCATCAGGGAACGTTAATGGGCTTTCCGAGCATGCAACCGTGTGAGATTTGTTGCTTTGACTGCTTGTAATCAGTTCCATGTGGAACACCGCTCTCCCGCCCCTAGTTGGAGCAGCTCGAGCAGATGGTCGAATCGATCCTGCCCCTGCCCAAGACTGCAAAAAATCCTGGCCGGGCACCAGATCTTCACAAAGCATGGCGGCTGACATTGGTCAAGGGTCGCAAGGATGTGGGTGTATGCGACGCCCGAGGCCTTTAATCTGACTGTGGAAAGCTTGCAGCCAGGGATCTGTGATTCAGATGGCCTTGTTCGTCTTGGAGGTGTCAGGAGGGCTGGCTAGTTTTGTTGGCATCTTGTTTTGCTGCGAAAGCTGCCGTTGCCATCAAAACTGGCTTCTGTATCTGCCTGTACGCATAGATCCCAGCAAAAGCTCCATGTGCGGCCTTGTCTATATTATACTGTACTTGTCTCCAGTATGCAGTTCCACATCCCCGTACTGTGGCAAGCGAGACTCGAAGCATGTAAGCAATAGGCAAAACACTCTTCATTTTGGAGTAGTCTTCGTGGGTTTTTCGGATTGATGTGGCTTGAACTGTAGCGCAGCGGTTGGGAAACGATGTAGTTCGATGATTTGGTTAGGGGGGCATTTTAGTGTTAATTGCAAAGCATGTCCAAAAACGGCAGTCCCCTTTTCATATCTTGGGCGAACAAGCATTTCGCTTGATATAGTAAGTGTCCAAAAACGATAGTGCTGTTCTAAAGACCCGTTTGGGAAGAAGGAGTATTGCCCACAAATCATGTACTCCGCCGCTGCAGAGCCATGAGGCTCACTGCCATGCACCTGGGGGAGACGGAGCTCCTGCCATGTTTGTTGCCAGGATCTCCTCCGCAGCTGTGTTGAGCTCCTGCAAAGGAATGATGCATTTATCCACTCCACGAATATGGCCGGATCCTATGACGAGAATCTAAAGTGGCGATATATGCCAAGACTCTTCTCATCATGAAATGTCAGTGCATGAAGGGAGCATCATGCTGCTCATGAGAATTTTGACGGACAATTATCCCCGGCACGAAGCTGGTTGGAAAAGCTAGATCAACCTTGTTTTTCGAGATTCTTCTCACTCACTCTCTGCCTCCCTCCCTTTGTGAAAACAACATCTCCGAACTGCATCTTTAGTGCTAGCAGTCAAGATGCCTTGCCAGAAAGAACTCTCTTGAGGTTGCAAGGTGCTTAAGCTCCTCAAAACACGTAAACCTCACGGGCACAGCGTCATAGTGCAAGAAATGCAAACAATGCTCAAAGCCATGCGCATCGCCAGATGATTGTGACCAACGGCAATGCTTCCTGGGTGCAGGCCCACAATAGTGCTGCTTCAGTCGTCTCAACTGTCTAATGTGGCTCCGCATAGAACAGCCGGGAGAATTGAGGTGTTGTTTACAATGTGGGTTATCTGCAAGACACCTGGAGTTCCCATGTTTTTGAGGGCCTTTTACACCCAAGCTTCGCCGGCAGGACAGTGCTCGCCGATTCCTGCCCAACTTGCAGCGCACGCTGAACCGTGTTACTGCAGAGATCTTAGCTGGACATTGGCTGCAGAAACAAGATGACCTGTTGCATGATGAGCTGCTTCGCAAGATAATGTGAGCAGACATAAGCAGACAGCATGTTCACACGGACAAGCCCTTGATTGCTCATGCTACGTTTGCACAGCTTCTCAGGTCATGTCTGCCAGGGCTCTCTATGAGCACTCCTTCCCCGGCGATCCTTTCGCATGGAAACGTCAGGCTTTCAAGGAGGCAAGCTGTCCTAGCATGAATGGTCCGATCTTCAGTTCACGAGCTGCATGCGGTTTGATCACGAACGAAGTGTGATTCTAAAACATTGCACGGCCTATTTGCACACCAAAACCGGCATAGGCTGATGTTCATAGAATGCATGCTGCTGTCTGGAGAGATACGGATGCCTCGTCTGTTGCTTGCTGCCAGATTTTGGCACGACGTCGCCAGGAAGGCCCCAGCACCTGAGCAGTTCCTGCATGTCATACTGTAGTACACCTTGGTGCGGTGCGGCGCCCTGTACTTCACTGCTGGGCAAGTATGGGCCAGTGACGAGATGAATGAAAGTTGTTGGGGAGTGTAGAGAGTAGGGCCGCAAAGCTTCTTGGTAGTCTGCTTATGACTGTGGGTATGGATTGGAGTCGTTGAATCATTGAAGTGTGAGATACCTCGCTGCGGACTCTAGAGGAAGCCGTTCTAGGGGAATCGAACGCTTTTTATCATGCGGTCGACTGATGCCTCATGTTCTTTGTTTGTTGATGCCTGCTTGAGGGTTGACAATTGTAGCTGAAAGCATTTCAAAATCTTGAATAGGTACCCAATGTCTGAAGGACCTTTTTTGAATCTTTTTTGCTACCTAATCGCGGTTTGGGAAGGCTCAGTCCCAAGACCTCAGCTCTTTTTTGACTATCCTGGGGTTGGGCACGTGGACGCCGTCGTCGTCGTCGTCATCGTCGTCGTCGTCGTGGTCGTGGTCGTGGTCGTCGTGGTGGTCGTCGTGGTGGTGGTAAATGTAGTGGTGGTGCTGGTGCTGGTGCTGGTGCCATCATGAGTATCTTAATCCGGCATCACTTTCGACCCGAAGACCTTCCACGAATTAGTCGCAGCCTCATGGAGATTGATTCTTAGAACAACACAGGTGTTGATGATTGGTGTTGCTGAGGTTTTAGACAGGCCTAAGGACCCTCCATCAGTTAGCAGAATTGTCACCGAATCGTCCGAGGATTTTCCCGCACACTCTTGAAATATTCCACGCAACTTCAGCCTAAAGCTCACCATTAAAAGCCTGACGCCCTCTACAAGGAGAGAGGCTAGATTCCACCAAAGTTGGTACCTCTGCACCTGTTGCCGGCCCTGCCACTAACCGTTTTGAAACGCCGTTGACGCGTGTGTAGAAAGCCGCCTTTTTCGCACACACGGCCTGCCCAGAGTTGGGTTAGAGTCATCCCTGCAAAATGACCTGGTGTCTTTTGCATCGCAAGGATTATCAATGTCTGAAACAGATCAATTACAAACCCAGAGAAGCTCACGTAACCATTCCTAGATGTAGAAGGGACAAGTTCTTTGTTTGGATTTGGAGAGGGGTCCGGTTTTCTTTGCTTTCGTCACTGTGTAGAGGGTCGAGCGTTAGACGGGCTCGAACCAATAGTTCCCGCACAGCTGAGCCCGCAACCCAGCAGCATGTGTCAGACAGTCAGGCACAAACACATGTCCGCAGTCCCTGTATCCAAGCCTCTCGTGGGTGACTCCATAAACGTTGCTAGGATGGCCTGCCCAGGCTTCCATCCCGAAGGTGTGAACCTAATCGTGCTGGGAGACTCCCCAGCGGAAATCCAGGCTGGCTGTGGCCTCGCGGATAAATTGGGAGGGCTGTAGCACCGCATTCGTGCCCGTGCTTAGACGGGAACGGTTCGCTTGCTGTCTCCTGTGCAAATGAATGGTGGATGCCTCTTGATCTTGCTTCTAGGTTCAGGGAAAGTTCCAAGCCACAACAGCTTTTGAATGAGGAGTCTTTACTGCCATGTTATGCAGGTCACCTAGACGTGACTGGATGTGATTGCAGATCCTGGCGCTGGAAGCAAAGTTGTAGGTCTGCACTGGCACGAGCAGCGGAGAGCCAGTCATGAGCAGGGCTCCGACGGAGTCCTTTCATTCTGTATCTTCTTGTAGTTGTTCTAGGATGCATGTTAAGCTGTTAAGCCCGAAAGGTCTGGCTCATTTCATGACAGTCCTATTGTCAGGCAGCGCGAACAGCCACCAAAGTCTTGTGTGGCAGGTGCGGGGGGAGGGGGGAGCAGAGCTTGAAGTCCTGGTTGCCGAAGCAGAAGATAAGCCTGTCAAGCTTGTAGTTTACTGGCTCCCTCGCGTCCTCCCAGACAGCCTCCAAGCCTGGAATCTGTACGCACGAGAACACTGCAAAACCTCGAGCTTCTATGCCGGTTTAGGCCGCTGGCATAAGTTTGGAACAAATCCAACTCAGCCACCTGTTTCACCTGCCGCACACTGGCTGCACTCTGGCTGGCACGTGTAAACAGCAGCTCGTTCTTGGTCCAAGTGCAGTCTATAGAATTGTCTTGCAGACGATGACTCTTCGAATGTGAGTTGTTCCCCACATGCTTTGTTGGCTTCTAAGTTTTGCCTGCAATCGCCCGCCATCTGCAGCCGCGCGCCATTTCGGTCCCCCTACTCTCGGCTCTTTAAACTCCTCTTCTACTGGGCCCTTTAAACTCCTCTTCTAGACCTTCCAGCCGTCATTTCGGTGCCCCTAATCTCATCCCTTTCGACTCCTCTTCTACTCGGCCCTCCCGCCGACGTTTCGATTCCCCTTCAAACTCCTCTATGAGGCCCTTTAAATTCCTCTTCTAGACCCTCCCGCCGACATTTCAGTCACCCTTTAAATATCTCTTTAAATAAACTCTTGTTGTAGACCCTCCTGCGAACATTTCGGTCCCCCTGTAAATCTCCCTTTGAATTCCTCTTCTAGACCCTCCCGCTGGCATTTCGGTGCCTCCTGCCCACATTTTGGTTCCCCTTAAAACTCCTCTTCTAGGCCCCTTAAACTCTTCTTGTAGACCCTCCCGCCGACATTTCGGTCCCCCTTTAGTTCAAAGGGAACTTGGGGCTGGTTTTGGAGGGTTCAAGCCAGAAGCGATCTTTTGGGAACATAAGCATTAGCCCTGTAACAGGCCTTGGGCGGGGTGGCCCACCGCAACAAGGGAACACAGGTTCGATTCTGTAACGCCCCCCATTCGAGACAAGTCATTGTTGACTTCGTCTAGTCAACCTAGGCGCACGAGAAAGGGGTTTCAAACCAAGGGGCTGCGACAAAGGTTTGTCCCAAGGGGGCAGGGGGGGTGGGCCAGGATCAAAGAGGCATTTCGGCCCAATCCCATATGGAATCCAAGACAAGCGGCAATCATTGGTCAGGTCAATGGTGAAGACAGTCAAGTTCAAGGAGGCTTCGATTCCATCATGATTCAGCATTGTGTTAATTGGCACATGGACGCATCACTTCTGACATCACGGGCTGTTGCAATTCCGTCAGATGATGTGCATGACAGGAGTGCTCTTCTGCTGGGGTGTTCTCACTAGGTTGAAGGCTTGCTTGGACAGGCGCCTTCAGTCAATGAGCTTCTGGGGCAACTCCGACGAGCACGCAGCTTAGTCATGCTATTGCCAGCCACGACCTTGTACAGCCTAGGATTGTTCTGTGTGAAGGAAGGCGGGAGAGCTGCGACAAAAACCAGGGCCTGTATGGTTTATGTAAAATGACACCATTTACGGGTGTGTGCAGATCATAGGAAACGATAAGAGTAAATGAAACGATAACGTCAAAATTTATGCAATATAATGGGTGCTAAATTGGATGGAAGGCCGGCCTCCAGGTTTTTGGCGCCGCTCAGGATAGGCAGTTCAGTGAATTATGTACACCTCTGTTTGACGACATCCATACATGAAGGTCACACCCTGCTACAAGTAAAGTAATTTTGCGTTCATTTGCTGTAGCGAACGCGCCACAAAATATGTCAAAATGCTTTCTTGTCGTCCATCCCTGTACTGTTATATAAGACGTGTCTTGCATGAAAAGAAGCAACAGACCACCATGGACCATAGCTATTTGTCGTAGTTGCTGTGGTAGAAGTAGTTGCAGCAAAGCAGCACCTGCAGGTCCCCACCCCACGGCAAAAGAAACAGAGGGACAGCAACAGTCGAAAGCTTCAAGTCAAATTCACCAGGACTGAGAACGATACAGCAAGAACAGTGATAACATGACCACGAGCATGGTTGGTTGTTATGATAAATACTTGGGCTCTTACAATTCCTGCAGAACCGTTTGATGATTGTGCTGCATGGCAAGCTAGTTTTTAAACCCAACTCATGGTTCCCTCGAACAACTTCTGCCATGACCTTGGCAGCATTGCACTCAGCGAAACGTTGATGTAGCATGGCCGTACACATGTCTTGCCGTATCCGCTTGGAATCTCTTGGGGCTTGCAGTCAAGGAGTTGGTGTTCAGGCACCATGAATCCAGATCATGGTCATTTCACGATGTTGCACGTTGGCTGCTTGGCTCCGCCGGCCTCCACCTGAAAGAGCTCATGCGGTGGGTCTTAAGGGCCCAAGCAGCTCACGGAAACTCGTCCAGGGCGGAACAATTAATTGAACAGGTAGCTTTTGGATTCACATGTCCTGTGATTGCCACAAAACTTGTGTACTGAAGAGTTGCGGGAAAGCATCATGATCATCATCATCATCAAATCCGACCTGATGCGTCCATCAATTGGATTCGTAGCGGGAGGCTGTTCATGCTGCTTGCCCAGGTTGCCCAGGAACTGGCCACAATTGTTCAGGAGGACTCTGTGTGCTTATGATCGTTGGCTGGTCTGCAACATGCGTCAAGCACACTTGTTCGGCGATGACACCCCAAACCTCCAAACCTTGTGTGCATTTTGAACCTGGTTTGGAGGTATGGTCGACAAGCCCTTTGAGGCATTACCTGACCCTCCGACTTGAATGCAAACTCGGTTGTAGCGCCAATGTAGCTCAGAGCACACCTACCAGACTCTAGATCACAGCTTCTCTCATGTACTAGAATGCCACAAGTCCTCAACACGGAATATAAGATGAGCCTCCCGGGCCCTGGTCTCAGAGCTGGCCCAGACCAAGAGCCACACAGGACCGAAGCCTGAGTCGGGGGCTGGTGCAGAGAGCATTTCCAGTGCTAAGCCCAGAATTGCAACGTGCCGAAATTTGCAGAAGATCAGCCGCTCATGTCAAGATCATCGGTGCCCAAGGGTAGCATCGACCAGCTCTCATCCTGGGCATCGGGCTGGCGCATCTCAGAAACAGAGTCCGGGCGCCAAGGGGTCAAGGGGAGCAGATGGCGAGGCATGCGAGGCAAAGAACTGACAGTCTCTGACAGTGTCTGACCCTTCGTTCCTTCGTTTCGCCGTGTACAGGTCTTTTGGAATTCTTGCTCATGCAGCTGACCGGTTGTGTAAAACCTGGCAGCTGCTACATCGAAACCAGCATCAGTAGCAGGTACTTTACAGAAGCGCAACAATGACAACGAGTATTCAGTATCGTCACTAGCAGCAGGAGCTTTCGCACATGTAGTGATAATTAGTGCTCGAGGACATTTCGGAAACCTTCCACAAAATGGGAAAGAGCACGAGAACTTGGAAGCTCTCACATCTACTTGAAAGTCATATGCCCAGCTACAGTACCCAGCGCTGATATCAGAAGCAGACATGCTTCTTCAGCTTTCGGCTGCAAGATCCAGCTCCCAGTCCGCTTTGGCTTAGGGGCTCGGAAAAAAAAAGAAGATATTTTCGGGGCTTATTCAGAATCCGGAATTGTTTGTGGGGGTACGGAATAACAAAATCTCTTGGGGGCCAAAATAGTAAAATTGAAGATTCTGAGCTCTAATTTTGATTATATTACAGCCAGATACTAGCAAGGTGCGCATTCTGAGCTTTCATGATAGTGAGCTTTGAATGCAGGCGTGTTCCGCCGGGTCTGGGCTTGCAGCTGCGGTGATCCGAGGGCTGCGGGAAAATAGAGGGCGTCCGTTTGCCCTGCTTTGTTGTGGCCGTACCGCAGCTACTGGCAACGATCCTTTGCTTTGCTTGCTGACCGCTGCGCTTCGCAACTCCGAGGCCTGCTGCCTCCGCTTCAAGGTGAACTTCCCTTTGGCAGGCCTGCGCCTTCTTCGACCCAATTCTGAAGCAGATCTTCGCTGGTTTTCTGTGCGTTTCTGTGCAGATAGAACATGAATCAGAACTCGGGGAATGATCAAGTCCCCTCATGGGACGGCGATCCCAACACGTTCAAACCCTTCGCAACGAATTGCCGATGGTACTCCTATGGCCTGAAGACATCCGCGCGGTCCCTTGCTGCCCCGAGAGTTCGGCAAAACCTCAGGAACCTTCATCCTGAACAATATGCTGGAGCGAAGCGGTTGGAGAAACTGCTGCAAGTCTTACTTAAAAGTCCTGTACAGCGACCTCCGATCCCAGACACCTTCCAACGACTTGAGAGTTGGACGAAGCTGAATCGTCGTCAGCAAGAATCCATTCCTCAACTTCTTGTGCGTGAAAAAAAAACTGTTCACCGAACTTTAACAGAGTCTTCTTCGTGCACGCTCTGGCGCCGACGCCGTGAAGGCGGTTCCCCGCAAAGAGGAGAGTTCCGAGACCGACGAGGAGGACAAGGTGCCAACAGCTTAAGAAAACACCTCGTCGACGGCCGGTGCCTTTCCAAAGAAGGGCGCTGCTTTATCCGGCGAAAAGGAGAAGGAGACGACGCAAGCTGACAAGGCCGAGACGCGTTCCGCGACATTGACGCCAGCCAGCCAACGGTCACGGAAGTCGGCGCTCGAGAAGGGCATCTCTGAGGAAGAACTTCGAGGGTATCGAGTGTTAAAATCGGCGGTGCTGAGCCAGACTGAGCGACAGCAGTGTTGACCTCTACTCGCGCCCAAGGAGTTCGGCAAGCATTGAAAGCTCTCCATGATGATGCTGTACTTGGGGAACTTGGAGTCCGGCGACGTCGGTGGCACGGTGGCCAGGAGGGCTACGCCTCCGAGGAGATGCGGGATGCCTACGACGACTCCTGGGAGTACCCGTACGGCGAAGACGAAGAAAGCTACTGGCATCAAGCTGAGGAAACTTGGGACGCCTGGGGTGAAGGTGAGTGGGCCTACTACAAATTGAGAACGAGCAGGGGACGGCCTCAATAAGGGTGACTTCGTTCCCGAAACTTCCGAGGACAAAGCCCTTATATGCCCTTGTTGAGCAGGCGGCCGAAGCATACGCCATCGCCGAGGAGGCACAGAACTGGGTCGTCGCAACTTAAAGGCTGCTCTTGCAAGCCGCGATCAGGAAAGCCTAGACAAGCCAAATGCCAAGACGTACCATGCACTGCTCGCGGACGGCTAGGGCATCGTTTCTATAATTGTCCCGGACGGCAAGGCAAAGGTGGTCAAAGCAAAGGTGGCTACTCGAAAGGCTATCCCAAGGGCGGCCGAAGGGCAACGAGATGCACTGCAGCATGGTGATTGCTGGCTCTTGTGTCCTCTCCTGCGAGGACGGCAGCGCAAGGAACAACTTGGCGCCCGGCAACGTGATTGTTGATAAGGGAGCTACCGAGTCGGCGTGCGGCGTGGAGACCATGGAGGAGCTCCTGGGCAGCACTGCGTTCCGGTTCCGGGTCTGCTTGGGTGACAGACCTGTCTTTAAGTTCAGCGACGGCAGACGTTTAGGGCGGTGTCGAGAATAATCGAAATCAAGACTCCGGCCTTCGGCGTGCTGTCTGTGTACACCCTGGAACGTGCCACGGCACCCCTGGTGCAGAGGGAGATGATGTTCCACAAGGCTATGAGTTCCTGAAAGCCAAATACTAGCATAGCTATGAATCCGTGAATTCCGTGAAGCCCGTGAAATCCGTAAACTCAGAGAAGCCAGCTCCATATAGACCTTTTTTTTGGGATTGTTAGACATCATAGGGTCCGTCAACTTCTGTGGGGGGTAGTCCAGCAGAGCCCCGGATCCTCAATATGGAAATTTTAGGGGGTTCGGAATAATCATTCATTCGGCCAGCCGCCCAGGCCTAGAATTTCCATAAAATTTACGAAAAGGATCTAGCAAAGCTATGAGTTCGTGAAA